GCTAGATGGCTGTTGTGTGTAGGAGTATCATACTTGTGGTTTATTCCGCGTGCTTTGTGCCCTGGGTGGGGCCGTGAGGCTCGCACGATCGGAATGCGGGTTTGTTGTGGGAGATATCATATCATATTATGATACCACCGCTAAAGATGTGCTCGGGAATCTTAGGCTGAAGGGTGGGAATCTAGGTTTCGATATCGCGATCTGCCGTATAGTACCAGTTAACGATTTGGCATCGGGTGGTTGAAAAAAAAAAAAATCTTGCGGCACAGCTGAGAGGCGGTGATGATTTGCCAGGGTCGATATACCCCCACCGAGATTCTTGGTGAAAGTGAGCAATCGATCCCAGTGTTGAGTACGAGTAGCATCGGCAAGCACAAATCCTTGCGGAAGCAAAGAGCGTCACTTGTCATTACTGTGGAGAGTGACATGAAGGAACAAGAAGTGGTGGGGTAAATCCAAGTCCGCAAACAAAAGAGTAATGGTGAACCCCGGGCGAGGTCGATTGTTCTCACAACCAGAAAATTGACCTGCATGATGGTGGAATCCAACGAATAACCCCACTCTCCCACCACCACCACCACCAGCTTGATTACTCGACATCACATACAGACATGCAGGTAAATCATCTCCTCCCCCACGCTTTAATTTTGCTGGGTTGAGAGATCTTTGCTTATTCTTGCTTACTCTCTTCCAGGAATCCCGGCTAAGAGAATGGTTGGACAGAATGTAGGTTGGATTCCGGGGATTCGGTGGATTCCCGGCACACAGTACCTTCACATAAACCCGAATTGCTTTGCCGTTGCCCTGCAGATCTTTCTGGTCATGATACGGTATTTACAATGCATGTGTTCCTGCGGAATCCTTGGCTTGATGGTGATGAGGTGGTGGTTCGCGCGCGAATTGTAGAGCTTGCAAATTCATTGTTTCCTGAGAGGGAATACAGTAGCGCAGAATCCATCATTTATGTCTGTCGTTGAGGCGCTATCCTGGATAAATTACAATATGTGGATGTGTTCCAAATTGTGAGTTCCGCTTGTGCTAAGCGGTTAGTCCCGTGGCAGTCCCCCGCTCGTCCTGATGCCGATGGAATCTCTGCACGGCCAAAAGACTCCCCGGGCTCAATCGTGATACCGGTATCTCTGAAATTTCTGCTCGCCTTAATCCCCCAAGAGCGCCCTTACTATTTGCGGAGGTTCTTGCAGCAAGCCAGCAAATACCTCACGAGCGAAAGGAGTCAAGAAGTGAAATCGGTTGTGAAGAAACAGGCTACCACCAAGTAAGTAACGCTTTCAAACTCGTAGACCCAAAGCTTGACTCCCGAGCGAGGTGCTATGATACGGGGCTTATTGCTACGCATTTGGCTGGGACACCTTTCATCGAGATCATTTGATTTGCCGTTAGCCTGTTGTGGTATCCCAGGATTCGTCTTGGTGCTTGCTATTGGTATCCCAACACATACAAGTACGGTAGTACAGTACGTGTGTGGTGATGCGGAAAATAATAGTTGCGACTACCGCTAACAATTTTCGAACCTCCCCCCTAGACAGACAAACTCTGCGGGGATCGCCGGGATGAAATATGGCGGCTGCAGGCTGTTTGGTTTCAAACGCAACAATTTCATTGGTCAGCGGAACAAGTTTCCTCACTCCAACCATGAAAAAAAATGCATACTTGACGCCAGTAGCGAGATACGAGTAGAACTTCCCAAGTGGTTGATAATCCAGAAGCGTGGACCAGTCTACCGGTACTGGTTATCGCCTGTCGCGCGTGGGAGACAAGTAGGATTCATTGCCGGGCAGCCCGAGCCGGATCTAAATTACACGAGTACTCGAGTAGGGCGAATTCTGCTCTTACGATTCGTTGAAATTCGAGAGGAGCGTCTAGGTGATGGGTCGGTTGGGCGACTGGAAAGGGCTGTTTTTGTTATGATGTTCCGACAATCAGCTGTTATTTTGATAAGCAGATTTCGGTTTGGCCGGCTGGCGGCGAATTTTTGCTTATCCAACCAACAAGCACCCGAGGGATAAAATAACGCTTGCTTACAAGAGTCGGAGCGCATAACCGTTACTGTACACGTACTGTACTCGAGTAGCTAGGTCATGAGGAATGCCGGTATGTTGGTCACTGGCTTCGTGCATGAGAGAGAGCAGATAATGGACGAAACGGGTTCTTCCTCTCCTCCTTTGTGTTTCTTGAGTTGGCTTTGAGAATACCGTACCGGTAACTCGAGCACTGCGTTGAGCAGCGCTGCACAGGGAAGATTCTCATACACCAAGTAAGGGGTGCTCCGTTGAAAACATCACTGCATTGGAACTCAAAGGTCAAATACGGGTATTGAAGAACCCAAGATGGATGGGAAATGGCAGGGAAGGGGCAAGGGGGGGGTTCAAGCCTCAGTTCCAGTTACTGGAATTGTTGAAGTGGAAGGTTTTTTATGCGCGTATCATACTGTAAGGTTGATTGAGGATGGCAATTCAGCCGCGCCAACACCATCAGACTTGCCTGGTTGCCCCCCCCCCCTGGCTTGATGGATACGCACGAGTTGCACCAGATTATGCTTTCACCCTCCATACCACCAATGTTTGGTGTGTAGGCGTATGAAATATTTTTTTTACTGGGTATCATACTTTGCAACACACAGGCTGAATACGAAATTAAAAAAGGTGGTTGCGCTTTTGATGGCTTTTCTATTATCATTGTTCAAATTCGCAGTCCAAGTACCGGTATGGTATCGGGCGGGACCGCTGCTCGTGCGCCAAATCTAATTGAGGGAGCCGGTACGGTACTCCAGTACCTGTCTGTATGTTACCGTAGCCAATTCTGGTGGAACATGCTTCTCTCAAATACCGGTACTGTACGAGTGCAGGTACTCGAGTACAGTAGCCGATCCTTGATGTTGCGGCAGCCAGTTCTTGGGGGCACAATACTTCGCTCATTGTCAAAGCTCTCGAACTAACCTCGTTGCTAACCTGTGCAAAGAATGAACGACTTGGAGCTCCTCTACGGTAATACACGAGTACCGCTGTCGGGACGGATCCTCTCTAAAGAGTTGCTGGTTAGGTCACGGTCAAGATTTACGGGATTTTTGCACTAAAATCCCCGTCTCTAGTACTCGAGCACTAAAAGCGTGTGGAACCCGGGACCAGGCGGGATAACGGAAGAAAGTAGCACCTGGCGGGGACTTTTGTTCGAAGAATAGTGCTTTAGTTATTGCTGTTCTAGTAAAATATTTCCGTTCCTGAGGAAAGAGCTGAGCGCAGCGTCTCTCAGTAGAAAAACGAGATTTTGTGCGCTATTCTCCTCGAATTGGTCATCTGTGCATTCTCGGGATGAATGGCGGGTAGCACAATCAGTTCTCGCGGCCAGAATGATGTATTTGTGGGTTGATGGGGACAAAAAGGCGGAGTTCTGATTTTATGAGTGACTTTGGTGGATGCCGGTATGGTGGATAGGGTGCTCGTACTTGTACACGATACTGGAACAACACTGCTGCCGGATTGGTGTTGTGTCGGTGGGACAGACCCCACAAGGATTCTAGGCCCCGGCGAGGCCGAGACCAGGACGCAGACGCTGACCCTAGTTGCATGCAGTACCGGTAGTCTGATATGAATTCCATTACTGGAATGGTGAAGCTGTGCAGCCATAAACGACCTTACTAACTTAGAAGTTTGTCGATTTAGAGGAGAGTGGGTCATCGTATGATACGAGAAATTCCAGTTTCAAATTGCCACACCTTTGAGACAAAGTAAAGGGACGACAACAGCATCAGTTCAGGCATGCCGTGTTTAGCTCCGATTTTTGCCGTGAAGAAGGAGAAGGCTTCACCCAAGGTTTATTCTTAAGACCACACGGGCCGTCAATCACGGACCTATGATCCAACCCCCCCCTCCTTGCGAAACATGGGGACAAACGTGGGTACTCGAGTACTGCTCCCCTACCGTAGTCTAAGTGCTAACGGGTGGTTGGAGGAACAAGAGTAAACGAGACATGTCCAAGCTTTCATGTGGCCAAGGTACAGTACTATCCTACGGCATCATAATCGAACTCCCACAAAACAGGCATACCAGTATCTAAGGAGGAACGAAAAAGTAAATTTTCTTAGTGAACTATTGAAAAGAAGAAAAAAAAAGGGTACTTGAGTACTCGAGTAGAGACAGGGAAAGTAAGGAGAGGGAAGATTTTCTATCGAGTAGATGAGTTGAAGTTCTGTACCACCCATCGTTGAAAAGCCCCCTGTATTTATGGGTTCAGCCTCCACTCGAATACCGGGAGAATATAGTGGGACACACACCTCTCTTGTGTCATCCTACAAGCAATGCATCCACAGAGGCATCCGCCGCCACGGCTGCCAGTGTTGGCATGTTTGGGTCCTGGAATCAAGTACTGTATGATACCGGTAACATGATATGGGAATAAAACAATGAGCGCTTTTGTGTTTTTTTTTCTTTTTCCCTTTCTGTACTCTGCTCCTTGGGGAAGAGGTTGGGCCAGGGTTGAATGCAAGATAGGATCCTTTTTCGGAGAGTCCGCGGTGCGGGCAGCGAATATATTCTCGGATTTCCTTCAATCTAGGAAAATTCACACCACCCAATCCTCAAAGATTTTTCATCCTTAAGACCTCACGGATATTTCCAGTGATATGGATTTACTCGTGCAGTCGCTCTGAGTCTCCGACGGGCCACCAAACGGGGACCCCTATCAAGCATACTATCCACCCGCTGAATAGGCAATAGAATCGGATCAACTTCCAGATCAGCACAACCCCCGATCCAGGATCAGGGTTGGCACTTTCTGCACCGGGGTTAACGAGAGGCCGTCGACGACGTCCCGTTCAAGTCACTACTGTGACTTAACTGCAAGTGATTCAAAGGTAAACGCTGTTCTTGGAGATAGGAACTCACGAGTTCCTCGTAGCATCCCAAAATACTGGAAGCTTCTGCATCCATTCTCTATATTATCAAAGTCTCTTTTTCACGCTCAATTTTTAACCCTATTGATCGATCCTCAAGCCGCTCTCTGCCGGTACACTTCCATAGACTTTGCGCTATAACGGTTCTCAACCCCCCCGTTGCTGAAGTTGCTTGGGTGTGTATTAATATAATTGTTGCGGGTAGGAAGACAAAGGTGTACCTGTATAGTACCGTACTCTACTGTTACTACATTTGGATGCTGCAGTCACCTGTCTAACTCGAATGTTCGTCTCATCCCCACAGCCGCACGCACGATAGGTTAAGTTAGGATAGCACCGGTACTTGTATTTCTGACAATTGATACCTGCGTTGAGGCGGAACAGCCGAATCACAAGTCCCAGCAATCAATCTCGACCGAAATTCGATTCCGTCCATCGATATTATCCTCCCCCGTTAACCTCCCCCCACCATTATCTTTACATTTCCTACTCACCATATCACTCCTACATCTCTATCACTCACAATTTCCGTCAGCCGTCACCAAGCGCAAGTGCCCTTATCTCCCGCCCCTGCACTGCTCTTCTCCGGCCTTTCTCGGGATCCTGTAAGAGACTACCTTCAACAATTGTCGTGCTCTGTCAGCTTCGCTTCCACGCGTTGACTGTATTGAGTGACGTTTTTTGTTCTCACGCTCTTCCCTCTTATTTCTTCCCCACCGAAAAAAAAAAAACACCAAACCACACATCTTCGCTTATCTTTCCTAGCTTTTTAAGCCTTGCTAAAATTAACCGGAAGTGTGTGACGGGTGAAGCCTTTCTCTCTTGCGATGTGTGATGCTGGCGCAAGGTCTTACGAAACGCACTTCTATTGTGCGTTGTGCGGTGGCCCTTTTGCAAAAGTGTTTCGCACTGCCGTCCCCCCTGCACCCCCGAATAATGTCGATTATGATCACGAATTCTACGGAGGCCATTCAACGGATGGAGTGGATATAGACTTGGAGAATGAATTCAATTTGGACCCGGAGGACAATCGGGTCCTTCCCGAGGAGTTTGTGCTCAACAACATGAGCCATGCAGCTAAACGAAGTAGAGCGTTGCGGCTCCGTGCGGAAAAGGACGGTCTTAGAAGGGGAATGACGGGTGAACAGAGGACCACTTGGCACGCTTATGATGGGAAGCTTATTTCGACCCAGCAGATGAAATGGACCAAGAGCCTTCGCGCCCTCATATACAAGAGGGCGAAAAGACAACCACTCAACCATCAACGCTACCTGGATAACGGCCAGAATGCTTACCTTACGGGCAGGGGCTTAATTCGGCAGTCCCAGAATTGGGCTGATGCCTTCGCTTCAGTCGAGGAGGATGAAGGGCACGACGAGAGTGACGGTTCCGAAGTGCCCACTGAGTTCCCAGTGTTTTCCGATGAGGAGATTCAACTAGGTACCTATGGATTTAATGTCTACCAGGAGCTTGGCAGACCAGACGCCCATTATGTCATCTCGTCCATACCGTTTCACGACGAATGTTGGACCATGTTGGACCTCGCGATTGAAGAGGCCGGTAAGGAAAGGGGAATAATCGAGATGAATGAGCGGGTAGAGATAGATGATTTGTGGGGTTATCTGAGAGGACTTGTAGGGATGACCGGTGTGATGGATAGTTCCATTGTGCCTCAATCCATATGGGCGGCATTGTTGGAAGAGCGGCGAGGTGATGGGATTGTTACTAGATTGGGAGAAGTAGATTACCGGGAAGGTCAGGGTGCGGGAGAGGGTTGGCAATGGAAACACGAAGAAGGGCTTCATGTTAGTCACTTGACCATTTTGAATGCGTGGGATAGTAACTGACAGCTTTTATTTAGTGGGTTGTTGCTGACCCATCCAGAATATCCGTACTTAATTCGCCTCTTCTGCCGCTGGTTTCAGACAAACGATTGCCATGTGCACCAAGAGCTGCGCTTATAGACCCCTTCCAGTTACTTCCTCCGGAAATAATCCTTGAGATATGCACCATGCTCACCTCTACTGACATATTCAGTCTTAAGACTGCAACACCCGCGGCACACAATTTGGGTCTTCCCGACTCTTTCTATCGGAGGTTTTTGCGGGACGAGTTCAAATATCTTCCGACTCTCGTCAAAGAGGTTAGGGACTACGAGACCTTACGTGAGCGCAAGGAACTTGACACAATTGACTGGCGAGGCAGCTTCGAACGCCTTCGGAGGTTGATGATGGTCCCGAAGGATGGAGAAGGGTGGGGGTCCGTGGATATTGGCTTGAAGAATCGAAACAGAATATGGAAGATCGTGAAACCTATGGCAGATCATTTTGTTGAGAGCTCCCCTGCATTATTGCTGCATAGATACAATGCACCTGGGCCTTTTGCAGAAAGGACAGGAGTAGTCAGGGGGTATGTGGGCGTGCGTACAGGGAGACAAGGGCTAATTGAGAGCGTTTATTTCGGCCCTCGTACGCGAGTCATCGATCCAGATATAAAGGACGAAGCCGGGAACCCGCTGCGAGAGGATTTGGCCCTTACTTTGGAGGTGGTTCGGGTTTGGCTTGATTGTGAGGGTGGGCCTCTATGTGGTCTGGGGTTTTTCGTGACTAGCGAAGATCAGGAGGTGCAAAAGTGGGAGAGATTTGGGAGGCGTGGTAGTGTCTATGTGGATGTTGACATACGTTCGAGAACTCTGACAGGGTTTGTCTTTTGTTTGCATAGTTACATTGTTTGCGGAGTGCAGTTGGTTTTCAATGACGACACTTTGTTTTCGCAGAAGATCGGACGCTGGAATGGGGTTGCGCGAAAGATCACTGCGCCTTCCCGGTATCGGAATCTTGTTGGCGTGATTGGCTTTGTTAACTCTGGTGGATTTATTGAGACACTTGGTATTTTAGAAGAGACCCCCGAGTTGCAGCGTGAGGATGCCATTGGGCCTCTCACTGCTCCACCTCAAACGGTTGATCTCTCTCACGCGGAGGCGTCGGTCTGGAAGAGGCTCCCGCCGCCGGATGTTAAATTACTCGAACGTGAAGGGCCCCACATCATGGATTGGCGAATGTGCAAGGGAGAGTGGGAAATCTGGGCAAATGGATTTCATGGCGAGGGGGCAGAGGAACCATGTGGGAATGATAGAACACTGCTGGAAATTGTGGGTTACTATGATGATACCGCACTCAGAGGGTTGGAATTCGTTTATAGAGAGCATGGCAGCGATAAGCGGGTCGCGTCTCTCTTAGGGTCAAAGCGAGCCAAAGAATGGGATAGTATTGGTTTTAAAGAGGGAGAATCAGTGGCTGCCGTTGTCATTTGCTATAGTGACGCGTGTGTTCATGGGATTCTGGTGGGTCAACGTTCGAATTCATCCAGTATTACGCGCTGACACTCCCTAGTTTGTCACAGGAGGAGGGCGCACAAGTGAGGTTTTTGGGCCGCGCTATCTCGGAACCCACAAGGTTTTTGCCCCAACAGCTAATATTGATGGCCCATCCCAAACAATTTTTCGCAAAGAAACGACTGGGGACATCATAGGGTTGCACTGTTTATATGACGAGGAGGATCAAAAGTTTCTGCAGTTGGGACTCATGCTGCTTATTGACGATGATCGAATCTACGAAACTGAGCTTCCACGCCCCATTCCTTTTAGTGACCTCGATTCTAAACTGCAGGTGTGGGACGACGGCCCGCCTCCCAAGGATTGGTCGATAGCTTCTCGTCCAGGAGAGATGGGCATTTTCACCCGTGATTTCGCTCCTGCGCAATTTGGTGGCTGGATAGCGCTTGGTTCACTGCGCAGGGTCACAATATATGGCAGAATGAAAGGAGTGCGGTTTTCTTTTGCAGAAGGAAAGGATCGGTTCTTCGGGTATGTTCAAGATGCGAGCAATGGTGTCTATGTTCAAGAAATCGACTATGAGAATGGCGAACGAGTGATGGGGATTGTGGTTGTTAGGGAAGACCCTCCCTGTTCTAGCCCCGGAGAAAAGCCAGGTTCTCGAGATTCCATAGAGAGCACATCCACGAATGGGGATGAGCAGCAGTTTTTGGATCGGATCTACGTATGTTCTTCATAAACGCGTCCGATGGGGGTTCTTAAAAGACTAATATTTGTAGCTTCTGACAAACCGAAATGAGGGAGAGCTTCCTCTTCCAGTCAAGTATCGTGTTTCCTCGCCTTATCTTGTGGCAATCAAGTTCGATTTTAGTTACCATCAGCTTATCTCCTGGGCCCCCATCTATGCCCCAGATCCAGCTGTACCCGGTTCCCAGAAGCTCATCACCGAAATGCTTCAGCTTCCATGGAAGTGCCGCTTGGACGATATCACCGCTGACCGAAATATCAAGCCTACCTCTCGTGTTGCCTGTATATTCTTTGATGAGGAGGAGGGGAAGCAAATTGATGCAGTTAAAGGGTATGTTGGCAAAAGTGGCGATTTTTGTGGCCTCTTGTTCCGGAGGGAAGGCAACTGGGAGAGTAATGTCTTTGGTCACCGCTCAGCCTACGAGTTGTCCTTTGAGCTAATGGCAAGGGAACGTTTTACATCAATATTTTTTCCAGAAAAAGGCCTTAAGGCATTGGCAGTAAGACATATTGTACTCTGTATAGGTGGTTCACTGCTGATATAGCCTAGCTCTGCACTAGCCAAGGCAGGACAACACCATGGTTTGGTCGGGGATCTGAACGTGTAATACACCGTGAACCGCCAGATGGATTGGAATCCGTGGGAATTTATGGGACTTTGGATAGGGTGGGTTCTAGAAAGCCGGATCCCATACCCAATTACTAATCCGTGTTCAGGAGGTCAGATGTTATGAAGAAACCATAGACTGGGGGACCATAGGGTTACTATGCCGACCAAATCGGAGAAGCTCTATTGTCCGCTCGGAGACCCGTGACCCGAAACCTCCGTCTATCACGCGGTTCCCTCAATCCGACCCTCAACTTCCGTGGTTTAGCAATCTCCAGGCCCTTCCGGCGGAAGTTTGGCTTTCTCCCCTTGTGGCCCAAAGAGAGGAGCAATACATTGGGAAACCCGGAATAGGCCGAGCCTACTCTCTCTTTGATCCTGCTCAGCTGGACCAAATCGTTGCGCATGTCAACTTGTGCCACCGCGCCGGCATAAAGAGTCTTCGGTTCTGTGGAACATCTAGAATGGGTTTGGTAACGTTGGGTGAGTGGCCTGAAAGGGAGGATGTCAAAATTAAAGGGCCTGCGAAGATGAGGATCTCGGGTCCGACTGGGGAGCGGATCGAGAAGGTTAAGGTGGCATTTCAGAGGCTTGACCAGCAAGACCGGGTGGTGGGATTGTCCATGGAAACCAACTTTGGCCGGCTCAAGAGAGTCTTCAGCTCGGAATTGTGCCCTGAACGGCCGATACATCTATCTCCTCATAATGTGAAATGCTTAGAGTGTGTCGAAACAGAGGAAATTGTTGGGTTTCATGGGATCGTCAGTGTAGGTTTACAGTCGCTTTTCGATTTATTTTATTTCCCATGATTTCAGCTAATGTTTTACCAGGACTATAATATCCATGACCTGGGCCTTGTCCTGAGGCGAAGTCCTACGTTTGCTTCTTGAGCTCAATCGGTGCGGTTGCAGGAGGCTTTAGTTCTGCCTCCGATTAACTTCGTTCCTTTTCTTTATGTTTATACCTATTTATATGATTGATTTTAATCCATATCGTAATGGGCGACATTTTTTGCCTTGGATGTATTTTATAGAGGCGTTGTCGTACCTTACCTTTCTCATATCTAGGGTGGGAATCTGCTTTCACTCTATTTTCTTCTATAATGTTTTAGGCATCGCGTGGGGTCATGCTCGGGGCGTGCGATCGGTCGCTGGTGGCAGGGATTTGATTTATTGTACGAGTACAAGGTTTTTAGCTCGGCTCAATTGCTCGCAATACAAAGGGTGCGGTAAGGTATTAGGCAGGCACATGCGCAGGATGCACGGGGACGGTGCTTGGAGTTTGCGAATGTCTAGTGGCGAGTAGCTGGGATTTCCTGCCTCGACTGGCAATAAAGAGGCTAAGCGTGTACTGCTATATATACTTTCGTATCCGTGGGTGTCCTGGTTCTCATGCGTAAACTTGACATAACGCGGTCCTTCCTTTCACACTCTGTCAATCCCAAGCACAGAAACTCACTCGAGCCAAGCCCGCCGACTCCAGGTAAAACAAGGCCATTGATAGCGGTAGCCACACCCATTCCCTACAATGATTGGAATCGGGGAGCATTGGTTGGATTATGTGTTTGCCCCCTCTTGTGGCGAGGGATATCACATCATACCTGAGCTAGCGACGCCCAGCTGACATGCGTAATTGAGGGTCCTGGAAAGCATGGTTGGGGGGTTGGGGGGCTGACAGCGTGGCAAGGCTAGTCTGGCGATCCAGAATGGGAATCATACTGTAGCACAAAATGAGCGGGTTGCTGGCTAATGGTTCTCCAATTCTGGGGGGGCGGTAGGGGTTGGGACCTGTGTCTGGCAATAAGTGATATAGTATCTGAAAACACTGCTCTTGTTATAATATGCAGCCAGTTGACAGGCGAAAAAGAAAGATACACTCTAAGGTTCGGTGAAATTATTTAATACCTTTTTATTTTATTTTGTGTTTGTACGAGTACAACTTAAACACGGTGAAAAAGATATCTCTTGCTTCCACAATGTTTGGCAAAAACCTCCCCACCATACACCGCTCTCCAACACGCCCGCTCCATGCTACTTCCATATCCTTCCTCAGACCCAATCCAAGAAGGCAAAGGAGGGAGATTATGCACTGCCTCGCCACGGCTTCTCGGGCTATACCGACAGTTACTGGAGACGCACTGAATTTATTCATCGGGACACTATCACGAGCAATGATCTCCTTCCTTGCGAGGATACGAAGATTTTCGAGGTCTAGGAAAACGCACCCTTTAGGGTCCATTCCAGGGGGACAACCTCCAGCAAAGGATTCCTCGAACGTGATTGATAGGGTTTCAACTAGATTCGTGGGAGGGGGAAGGACTGCCTACGGATCAAGTTGGCTCATTAGTAACAGAATCAGTAGTATTAAAATATAGAAGAGACTTGCATAAGTTTCAACAGGGGTTTTAAAAGAGGCGTTTTGAGTTGGCGTAGCCCGGTTAACCCACGGGTGGGCCCCAATACGGTCTTCCCGTTTATAGAACTTCACCTGGATGACGACACGCACTTGTCCACAGGACCCGGCCTGCAAGAGAGACGTGTCGAGATGAGGTTGATCTGCCGGCTCGAACCCTCCACACTCTGGAAGTGAACCCAGGAGTCCAGTCCGTCCGTCCTTGGGTGTGGGCCAGACAAACGGCAGCGTGTGGGTGGATACCCGGGATAGAAAGGCATCTTAGCGTCCGTTCAGACCACTGCCCAGGCGGACGGGTACGCACTGCAGGTTTCTCAGGGGCGGGATGTGCAAGGTTTCTGCTGGTGATGGCGGATGACGGCTGGGCCCTGTAGGTGATGGCCTGACCCTGCAGGTAATGACCGTGGCCTGCAGATAACCGCTGGAAGATGCTATTTGTTCTATGACTGCGGGGCTCGGGCTTCAACCCTTTGGAAGGCCGTCTTTATGATAATAATTATTATGAAAGACGGATGCCATGCCCTGCCGTCCTCGCCACCCTGGCCGGGACGCCCAGGACTGCACCCCGCCAGGGCCCTGTAGGGCGCCTTGGACGGTTGGGAACACTGCACTCTAGTGTTACCGAAGGGTATTTTATCTTCATGGTCCAATCAGGGCCAAGAAGTGGGACAATAGTCAAGTCGACTTCCTTTTTGCATTCGTAGTATGGCAGAATAAATTTTTTGTACTCTGGTGAACCTGATTAGCTAGATTTTGGCATTTTAACTGGACCCAATTGGCAACAAACCAGGAGAAGTACTTATGCCAATCTTTCGAACTCAAACTTGAGGAATTATTCCTTTTGCCAATGCGTCCGAGATCTCATCAATAACCAACTACCTTGCACACTCATGCAGTGTAGAGGGAATTACGACTGACGTATTTCATCCCTGCAAACCAATGAATGCTATAGCCGTGATTTAGTTATATGGAGAAAGAAAGAAAAAACCAGGTGATGGAAGGTTACCGAAAGGAATCCTACTCAAAGTAATTCGTAGGATGTCGTAAGCCTTGGAAGACATGATCAAAGTTGGCCTGATCCACATCATGAAGGTTAAAACTTCGGGACTACGTCTCTTGATCACACCTTTAATTTCATTAAAGATTTTGGCCGACATGCTCCAAGTTGTACAACCAGAGATCAGATTTCCTGGACGAACTAGAGAGAGAGTGCGGTGGATCAAAGTTGTAGGAGATGGACTAGAGGAGCGAGAGCGAGAGAGCGGTTGATAAGAGTTTTGGGGAATGTGGCAACATCATGGGTAGGTTGCGGGGTCAGTTGATCCCGCAGACTCTGAGCAACCACTTGATATAGCTGGGTGAAAATATGAGCTCTGCCATGTCCTAACAGTCAGGTTACGCTCCACGAAATTTGATTGTCTATTGACTACGTCCCTTGAATGTTGATATTGGTGAGCTGCTGTCAAAGGTTTATTACAGTGGTCAAGGAAGCATCAGCTGGGTCATTGATCTACTTTTCCAACCCCGAGGATATCTCCTCTCCTCTCGTCTCCATCCATTCGGTACACCTCACTCGGCAATTGCAGAAATCTGCTTGACATATTTGAATTCCCAACAGGTTAGGGAACTTTTGGCTCTCCCTTCTCCATATACACAAAGCGCATGCTTTCTACAATATTTCTCCCTACACCGGGGAGTTAATTCGAAACGGAAGCTCTCTGACTGCGCGAGATCCCTGGTGTGCAATCTATTGACTGAGGATCAAGACGAGAAACTGGAATAATTTTAAAGCCAACCAATCATCCCGTTGGTGGGTAATGTTTTTTCTCTCTGTTTAGTGGACCTCCCAGTGTATCGTCTTTCGGAAATTGCGAAGGTGGTATCATAGCTTGTTTAAAAGGATAAAACTCAGCCGCCGCTTGCCTGTGCTATGATCTTACTATGCAGATGGAGCAGCCGGCGACCACAATGCTTCGCTTTCCTGCTACCACTGGTGGTTGGTCCATCCGGGCGGGTCCCAGAGGAAATATCTCATGCCTTCCGTGAACAGAAAAATGCTGTGGGTGGATGCAAGCCACAGCTTGGTGAGAATATGAAGATACAGCAACTATTTACATTTTCACGACGCAGATTTCATCGCCCCTGATGCGGCCAACGAATGAACAACTATGGCTGTGCAGGGATTTAGGCTTTTTGTTCTCTGTAGGTGTAGGTGTGTGTGTTGGTGGATGGAATGACTTGATGTATTTCCTAGCTACGACCCAGCTACTTAAGGTGAAATACATACATGCCAAGCTTGCCTGCACCACACTCAAACCCTTATACACAACCCCCAACACCTATGAAGATAGCTACCTGTATCCACTGCTAACAGTAAGGAAGATACGACAAGTCCTATGCAGCTAAAATCTTTCTGATAAGAAGGCCCCATATCCTTGCACAGATTGCAATATGCCCCGCAGGGCCTTTAACGCCTGTATCTCTAGGGTATACTGCTGAGTCCTGACTATATTATCGATTTGCTGTTCGATTTAGCGGGGACAAAACACCGGAGAACATCGATTTGAGTTTAAAGGCAGCTATTCTAGAGAAGATTGTTAGACGGGGATGGAAAACGTGGCTACTAGTCACAGCGCTGAGAATCTCACCTCGCAGTATCAGGAAATCTATACGTATAGGTATCAACACACTTCCTTGTATATCAAAGTAATTTTTCCGGAAACGACGATGTACCATGGGAAGGAAACAATCAGGAAAACAGCTAATGGATTGGGTGGGGATGAATATAGTACGATAATAGCAGGGGTAGCGGGACAGGATGGGCATAGATTGAGACTCGGATTGTGAGGGTGATTGATGTGGAATGTCCACTGACTAAGAACTAATCAAATATTTATATCTGTAATAATTATTATGATATGGTATGGCCCTGTTCGGCATGTACCAATAAAAATATATCGCAATAAAAGTTGAAAATTGGCATATATGCTAATAAAAAAAATTCAGTGTTGAAAAAAATAGATAGGTGTTCGGCAACAATTTACAACTATGGGGATCCCTGAAAAAGTTGTCATAAAATAAACATTAGGGCAAATGCAAAAAATAATAATAATAAAAATTGAAAGTTTACTTCCTAGATCTTTCAGTCAATAATACCACACATTAAACCACACATCCAACTACACATCAAACCACATCTCTCATTCCACTTCAATTTATTCACCTCTTTATTCTGCTGCTAGCTGCTCTCTATTGTGCTAATTCAGCCCTTTTCCAGTGGTAAGCCATTTATTCCCATACCATTACTCTGCAATACTTGACTTTATATCAGCTAACAGATGATCTTCAGAGAAATAGACTGTACAAAAATGGGAAACAGTATCTGGGTTGAAGATAGTGAAAGGTTCTTGGTTGAAGCACTTCTGAGACATGTTGACAATGGTACACGTGGAGAAAATGCATTCAAGAGGTCTGTTTGGCTCAGTGTTGTTGCAGAACTCATTGCAACCTATAAAAATCTTAGTACTAAACCTTTCACAGTTTCTCAAGCTAAAAGAAAGGAAGTTATAGTAAGTAAATATCACTTCTACTCAGTGTGTTGAATTTTATTATAGAAAATATATAAGCTGATAACAATATTGGTTAAGAAGGAGTTTGATATTGTTCATGTAATCTACCAAAATTCTGGTTTTGGATGGGATGATGCCAGAGGTTTGCCAATTGTATCAGCTGAAGTGTAGAGAGTTTATCTTGATGTAAGTTCTTCCCTTTATATTTGCATGCTAGTCTTATAAACTAATTGTACATAATTATTTAACAGCATCACAAAGAGGCTACAAAGTACAGACATAAAGGCTTCCCTTTATATGACCAGCTAGTTAGCTTGTTCTTTTGTAATGAGACTCCACGGAGTACTATTACAGTTGACCAAACTTATA